TGTGTGTGTGTGGGGAGGGAGACGCAGTTAGAGTTCTCCTCTTACGCTCCCACACCCCTCACTGTAGCTTTCACTGAAGAAGCCGTGCAGCACAGACTCGCTCGCCGCTCCTCAGCCTGACTCTACTACTGCTCTGTTTTTGCACAGTATGTAGTGTGCGTGTTGTATATGGTGCGTGAATGTCCTGTATATTTGAAATGCCCGGATCACCTAATACATTTGCCAAAATGCACCCTACACAACAAAGTACACTGCGCTTAGTACTGTATCCCACAATGTGTTCGATTTGGCCTTACTTTTCCAGTCTCATGAATACACCATAGTGATTGCATAATTATTATTAACGAAATTTGATTTGTCTGACAAAAGGTAATTTCACATAGTTGAATTAAAATATTTAAATGTTAATCTGATTCGGTTTTTTTTTTTACTTATTTTTCTTTATTGTATGTTGTTTTTTATATTTAAATTAAATTGAATTTAATTCTATGTACATTATTTCTCTTTTTTTTATTTTTGTAGTTTTTTTATCATCTTTGTCTATCTTTAAATTTTTGTGCATTTCTTTTTTCATGTTTTACTTTTGCATTTTTATTATTTATTTATTTTATTTTTTTGTCTATATTATCTTTCATTTAAACTTTACTCTATCGTATTTGGTTAACTTTTTATTTTATTTTTTAATAAAATATATTTTTTTATTTAATATATTTTGTTTTTTTTGTTTTTTTTTCTCAATCTGTTTCTTTTTATTTTCACTTTTTCTTTGTTTTCTTTTATTTGTTTGTAACTGTTTTCTTTCTTTTACTTGTAATTTGATCTAATTTAATTTACTTTATTTTATGCATGTATTTATTTACTTATTTCTATCGTATTCTATCACTTATTTTTGTATGCATGTATTTCTTAATTCATTTATTATCTTTTTCCATTTCTTAACTTATTTTATATTCTTTATAAATAAGATAAAAAAAATTAATATAAAATAACAAACATAGATATTGTTATTTCTATGTTTATATAAATATTTCATATTAATATATAGTAAATTATATAAATATTAACAAACAAAACATTTATCTATTTATTTTTTTATCATTTGTTTTTTTTTTTTAGGTTTCACTGTGTAATCTAGTGTGTTAGTCTGAACACAGGTGGCATCTCTGTGCCAGAGTGAACTGAACAAGGTAGAATAACAGTAGTGTATGTAACATCTGACTTTGTCTGCTTTTCTGTTCCTGACCAGGAACCAATGTCTGTTCTGAAAACAACGGGGGCTGCAGTCACCTGTGTCTGCCGTATCCAGGTGGACGCTCGTGTCGCTGTGCGCAGGACTACCTCTCTGTGAACAAAACCAAATGTGTTTCCAACCTCAAGTGTCCCGCGGGCAGTAAAGCATGCAGAGACAGCCTCACGTGCATCCCTGCGGCCAAGTTCTGCGACCAGATCCCAGACTGCCAGGACGGCTCGGATGAGGAGTGTGAGTGATTCTTCATTCTTCTGCATGACTGTTATTCTCCAATTTCTATTTTGCAATATTATAGATTAGTTTATAGACTCACTGCAACAGTGCTAATGTGTCCCGAGCTGCTAGGCAGTTTCTAGGCTGCTGTTAGTACATTGCCAGAAAGTTGCTTGAGCGTTCTTGTTGGTTGCAAAGGTGTTCTAGGTGGTTTCTAGGGCATTGCTAGGAGGGTTTCTTTAGATTATCTGACAGGCAGAACCTTTTATGTCTTAAAAGAATAGTTCACCAAAAAATGAAAATCTGCTGAAAATGTACTCACCCTCAGGTCATCCAAGATGTAGATGAGTTTGTTTCTTCATCAAATTTGGAGAAATGTAGCATTACATCACTTGCTCAGCAATGAATCCTCTGTAGTAAATGGGTGCCGTCAGAATGAGTCCAAACAGCTGATAAAAACATCACGATAATCCACACCACTCCAGTCCATCAATGTCTTATGAAGCAAAAAGCTGCGTGTTTGTAAAAAAACAAATCCATCATTAAAGGATAGTTCACACAAAAATTACAATTCTGTCATAAAATAATCCATGTGACATCAGGGGTTCAACCGTAATTTTACGAAGGTACGAGAGTAATTTGTGCGCAAAAGAAAAAAAAAAAAAAACGACTTTATTCAACAATTCGTCTCCTCCACGTCACCCTGTAGCGCCATTTTGGAGAATATCCGCTGGACGTAAACCGTGTCAGCTGTTCGGTGTCAGCTGCGTCACACGGATACGCCGTTTTCGTTCAGATCAAATCACAACAACGTAGGAAACAGATCCGGCGTGACGCAGATCATTTATTATATCATTTTGAAAATGCTTATTTTGAGTGGAAGCAGAAACGGGCTGTTTTCGTGCATGTCTCTTTAAATGCAAATGAGCTACTGCTCTCCGCCCCTTTTCCAGAATAGCGCTGTGCCTTTACAGCTCATACCTCAGATACTCTGGTAAAAACATCAGTTTGGTTTTGATTAGCCTCTTCATGTCTATCACGCAGAAATCATGTGTTTTAAACCATATTAGTTTAAACTTCTGTTTACGGTTTTCTGAGCACACAGAAAGCAGCTGCGCACATCATGCGAGTAATAAAACGAAGTTCTCTTTCATGTCTTATTGCGCATAAACTATCAAATACACACACGTTTGTTAAAAACGCATTAGTTACAACACAGTCGGTTATGTCTGTGAAGGTAAACCGCTGGGAAAGAAATTGCATTTTTATATTAGATCTGTGTATTAAGTGAAAGCGGCGTAATATTCAGTACCTACTGCTATCTGTTTGGAAAAAAAGGAACAAGCAGGTTTTTATTATTATAGGGTGGTTGTGTACACACTGCCAACACGCATGTATGTTCAAACAACATGTAAAAGTGAATTTTGCATAATGGGTGCCTTTTTAAAGCATTTTTAAATGCAAACTGTTGCTTTTGGCTAAAATACCATAGTCCATAATCAATACTACCGCTTCCTTCAGTGGAAAAACTCCATCCCCTGTTGTCCTCCCACATATTTGTTTAGAGCTGTTTAGGAACGTTTTGGCTTGTAAACTGCATATTTCTCACCTGTTTGAGACCAGATGAATTTTTCACATTTCGTCTTAATGATGGATTTGTTTCTTACAAACAGGCAGCTTTTCACTTCTTCACAAGACGTTAACTGATGGACTGGAGTGCTGTGGATTATTGTGGTGTTTTTATCAGCTGTTTGAACTCCTAAATAATGTGCTGCTTGTTGACAGGTGGCAGTGGGAAAATCAAACCAGGTGTCAAATCCAAATCTGGACCTGACACTGCACAATCAGACCGTCTGCCTGCCTTGGGCTCTGCTGACGGCAGCAAGTCGTGTGAGGCGGAGCGCTGCAGTAGTCACGGGACGTGTGTGAGTGTGGAGGGTGAGCCGGTGTGTGAGTGTGAGGAGGGATACAGCGGGGATCTGTGTCAGAACGCCGCCTCCAGCAGCACTGCGCTCGCGCTCACACTCACCTTTCTCTTCGGAGGTGCTCTGATGGCCGCCGTCGTCCTCAAGAGGAGGTTCATCATTTCTTAATTATAATAGATGTTGATTTTATTAAGCACATACTTGTATATCATGTATATCATAATCAATATTTATTATATAAATATAATAATTTATATTTGCAGAAGGGCACAAGCAGTGAGGGAAGAGGCCACTGAAAAAGAAACGCTTGTGACTGACGTGGAAGAGCGCACAACCTACTCTCAAAACTTTGCTAATGAGTTGTACGATCCTGAAGAGGTACGATGAGGTTTCTATAATTTTTCTATACTAGTTACATGTATATATTTATATGTATGACATTCTTTTAGAGAACAAAAGGAGATGTTTTAAAGAATGTTTACACGGCTGTTTTGCATACAGTACAATAACAGTAAATGGTGTGGGATTCTTTTTATGTTGTTTTTTTTCTGATAAATAGACTATGATCCACAAATAAATGAGAAATTTACAAAAATTAAACCTTCACAAATAAATGGGTAAGATTTGCGAGTTGAATGTGTAAATATTGTAAATATTTATTTTTAAATCTAATTAGATTTTTGTGGAAGTAACATTTTTTTTGGATCTCATTCTATTTGTTTTTGCAAATAAAAAAATACATACAATATTTGTAAACGTTAAATTTTTTTATGAGTCTCATCTTAATTGTGAATGCATTTTTTGTGAATCTTTTTACTTTTATAAAAGCCTAATAATATCTTTATCCAGAAATGTGGAACATTTATTCTTTATTTTATTTTTAATTTTTTTCCCGTACAAATATTTTGTGCATTTTTACCCTGTACTTTCATTGTATGGAAAAGAGCAGCCTGGATATTCTGCTAAACCTCTCCTTTTGTATCCCACATAGGAAAAATGGTCATAGAGCTTGGGAATGATGAAAAATCATTATTTGTAAAGTAGACTTCAGAATTGTTTCTCTTACATTAATTCAGAATTTAATCTTATGACTCTTTTTCTCTTTCCTGTAGGCTTCGATTACTCCAGCCATTACCACCCCTGTTGTCAGCTAATGCTTTTTTTTTCTTTTTTTTTGGTCTAATAAAAAAAATTATAATATTGCAAGAAATATGGTGTGGTTCACTTTTTTTATTTCAATAAAAAAAAAATAATAATTAACTACCATTTCATGTTATTTTTTAACATTGCAAAGTCCAATGTCAAGAAAAGAGCTTGTTGCATATAAACTTGCCACAGATGTCGAAACAGCAGGTACTTGAGATCATTCTCAAGAAATATTTACACAGTATTTCACAAAGGAAACCGCAGGGTTAATGCCAGAACAGAAACCTAATGGGATTGTGAAACCAAAGAGAGTCTAGTTTTTATTGGAAGTCTCAATTAAAGCAATTATAATTAATTATAGCCTGAAACTACATGTATTTTTATATGCAAGAAGCAGATCTGCAGTCCTGTGTCCTATTTTTGTGTCCATCACACATTTACAAATGTAGTTTTACAGTCTTTCTCATTTTATAGTTGTATGTTTCCTATAACTCTTAAGTTCAAAGCTTCGAGGTCTTTATTGCTTGGTCATTTGAGTTGCTTCTTTAAATAACCTGCTGCTCCTCCTTGGGCTTCAGTCTCCTCCTGTGCACAACACAAAGTCTTGTTTGGTTATGCAAACCCAGGCCTACTTTCAATACTTTCTCTTTTCTACAACCCATCCCCCCATTTGAAACATGAACCAGTACCTGAACAAGAGGAAGAGGCTCGCTTGTGTGAATCAGTCTTTGTACCATCAGAGTTTGTGGAACAAAATTCAAATGTGACACATTTGGTTTAAACCCCTCGTTTGCGTCTACAGATATCAGAAGGATCCCAGCGTAAAGAACAAGTGTACGGTTTATTTTTAATGGCATCCCTGATTGTGTCAGGATTGATCGGAGCATTTTGTTTTGTAAACGAGGCACCGTGTCATGGAGAGTTCACTAAGAAACATTTGTTGAAAGATGAAGCGGTACTATATCTGACTGCTGCTGCATCACAAACCTAAAGTTAATGATTTCATAATGCTTTGTCTGGAAATAGCAGTTTTGTTTTTGATCATGTTGTCAAAAGCTCACATGCAGTAGCGAGGGGGCATTCATACGTTTCCCGTGCAATGACGTTAGCCAATCATAACTGGCTGATTACTGACAAGCCTTAAAGGACACACCCCTTAAAGCAGGTAGTTTTAGAGAGGGGGTCAGAATGAGGGTTGAAAATATTTGTTTCATATTTTTTTGTCAAAATAACTTCATTAACATTATAAGTAAACCTCAAGGAACATATTAAAATAAAAATATCCATGTCATGACTCCTTTAAAAATAATAATAAAAATAAGATGGAAATTATTACATTTACAACTGCATAAAGCAGAGAATAATCCAATATAAAGTAAAACAAATATGTGTTTCTATCAAAAGAATCTTACGTCCAAACGGATCTTGCAACTTGATCAGAGGCGAGGACTTTAGATTCTGTGAGTGAGCAAAAAGATTCCCTTTTACTTCAACCGAGGCTAAATGAATGTGTGAATCGGTTCTACGGAATTAATCGTTCACGAATCGGACGTTACTTAACACTTGCTGAGATTAACCTATTTATATAGGCACATTTTACATTAGCTACCCCTTAAAAAATATATATTTTTTAACACGTTTTGAGATGGTTGTAGCATGTCATTGTAGCAGTAGATTTAGCGTACTAGAGCTGTCAAAAGCGGTCCGAATGATTCGATTTGGACTCCGTAAATTGAGTTTGAGAACCAGGAATAAGGTCACAGTTCTGTGTCCCGTTTTGTATTGTGCAATGTGTCTCTCTCTCTATACCTACGGTGACCAAGAAGTGCTAAACAAATCACAATTCTGAAAACAAAATAACAAATTACAAACGCAAATGCAAGTCTAAAAAACAAAATAATTCAGAAAACACAACAACAATTCAGAAAACATTATAACAAGTCAGAAAACACAATGACAAATTCGAAAACAAAATAACAAGTCAGAAAACACAACGACAAATCCGAAAACAAATTAACAAGTCAGAAAACACAACGACAAATCAGACAAACCGGAAGAGGTAGGTGTAGTTTGAGACAGCGCCATTGGTTTGGGATTACTCACCGCTGACTGGTCTGTCAATCAACGTATACAGGAAGAACCAGCCGAAGAACAGCAGAGTCGTGGTAGAAAGTTCGGAGATGGTATTAAAGTAGCTCAGTTTAAATGTATTGTATGAATTGCTCTTACTATGGAATAAAAAATACAGAGTGTATATTTACATTTAGTTAAAAGTAGCTGTAAAACATCAGGTCCAGTAGCACAGATGGATAAGCACGTGTAGTTGGCTTTTTGACGCGATCGACTCGGGTTCGATCCTGCCTTTTGCCGAACTTTTTTTCCTCCCTTTTCAAATCTCGTATTAGCAATGGATTCTATTTACACGAAGTGAAAATAGCAGTATTTTTAGCAATATGCTATTTACACTATGTTAAAATAGCAGGATTTAATATAACTCCGACTGGATTCGTCTGAAAGAAGAAAGTCATATACACCTAGGATGACTTGAGGGTGAGTAATATATGGGCTAATTTCATTTTTGGGTGAACTAACCCTTTAACCGATAAACACATGAAGCATGTTATTTTCTACTTTTTGATTATTTCCTTAATTTTTATTGAAAATAAATGCCTTTACGATGTGATACGAGATTTGAAAAGGGAGAAAAAAAAAGTTCGGCAAAAGGCGGGATCGAACCCGGGTCGATCGCGTTAAAAAGCCAACTACACGCACTTATTCAGCTGCGCCACTGGAGCTGATGATTTCCAACCACTTTTAACTAAATGTTAATAGACACCCCGTATGTTTTATTCCATAGTAAGGGCAATTCATACAATACATTTAAACTGAGCTACTTTAATACCATCTCCGAACTTTCTACCACGACTCTGCTGTTCTTCAGCTGGTTCTTCCTGTATACGTTGATTGACAGATGTCTCGTCCAGTCAGCGGTGAGTAATCCCAAACCAATGCTGTCTCAAACTATACCTACCTCTTCTGGTTTGTATGATGATTTGTCGTTGTGTTTTCTGACTTGTTATAATGTCTTCTGAATTGTTGTTGCGTTTGTAATTTGTTATTTTGTTTTCAGAATTGTGATTTGTTTTGCACTTCTCTAACCCCGTACTATACCGTTTCCATCCAAACATACAATAGATTTAAGAATTAATTAACATCAGCTCACCTGCTGATACATACTGTGTGTTTTATGGTTGTTAAAATCAATTAACCGATGTATGTATGTACATTTTAAGCTACTCCATAAAAAAATACGTTTTTAAACACGTTTTGAGATGATTGTGCCATATTATTGCAGCAGTATTATAGATTCGGCGTAAAAATTGAGTATTTTCTTTTTAATTTTGAACTGTCGCTGACAAACATTGACTGAATCATTCATGAGCAAACGAGTCAGTGATCCAGTCTCAGTCCTAAGATTATGAGAGGATAACAACTTAATTATTGCAGTCTCTTCATTTTATTTAACTATAAAACATACGAGTATGTAATTTTTGCCCACCGTAGCCTACTCACGTGGCTTTATTAGGCGTTGCTGGCGTTGAACGAGAGAGAACGGGACGCTCGCGGAAGTGTGTGATCGTTTATTGGGCGTCACGGCACCCGTATGGCACATCCTACACTGATTTAAATGTCGTCAAACTATTACTCCAGTGCTATCGTCATCTGGCCCTTATTTGTCCTGTAAGCTGAGCGTTCACTCCTCCTTGGCCATGTGTTACCTGACAGGAGTTTGGTTTCACTGAGTGTTGTGGTGAATGGGTGGGTCTCTTTTCTGCTTGGGAACATTGCTTTATTGTTTCTGTCTCAATGCATTCATCTGTTCTAAAGCCATCTCTGTCACCATCTTTTCCTCTTTTGAACACAGGTAAACCCCTACAGTTTTGCATTCCAGTCATAGTTCTGAATGTATGTTTGTCAGTTTTCACATGGAAAATGGTGAGTAGACTAGATGTAAACGTGTACTCTATTTCGGTAGTTCTTTTGCCTTAGGGAGGCATTTGTCTGAGTATTTTAAGGGTGCACCTTAAGTCTGTAAGCTGGCATCAAATGCACAGGCTGCCTGAACGCTTTCATTGCCAGTTAGGCTAACTGTTTTGTTGGGGCTTGTGTGTTTCAGATGTCTTCATCATGTGTTATTTTGTACCGTACATTCATTTGCTTGGAGAACTTGCTTTAAAAGAACTATACATTTGCCTGTGTTAAGTGATAACGCTTATGTTCATTTAGTATTTCTAAAGAATTAGTTTGTATTTTATTTTAGATTTTTTTGTTTCTTGAAACCATGTGTCATTTGGTAAACTGTGCTGTCCATTGAAAACATATGTCTATATTTAGGGTCCATCACATGCAAATGTGTGAATGTGACATACATATGAGAAAAGTGACACATTTTTATGCTAAAAACTGTTGAATGAAGTAAGATTTTTAGAATTTATTTACATCTAAAATTGTGTAAACGATATACTCTATGCACATACATACAGTACATACTTTTAGGATCAGAAAGATTTGTTTCAAAATAAATATTTTTCTAAAATAAATATTTGAAATTGAAATATACAAATATTTGTCAAATAATTATTTTTTGAATTTAAAATATTTATGTTAATATTTATTGTATTTTTAATTGTTATATTTATTTTAATATTTATAATAATTATATATTTTATAACTTTATATAATGTTTATTTAAATATGTTAATAGTTTGTTTGTTTATATGTTATTGTTTATTTCATATAAATATTTATTTCAAAAGATAAATATTTTTATTCTGCAAGGATGCATTAAATTGATAAAGACATTTATAATATTTCAGAAGATTTTATTTTAATTATTTTACATCACATTTTAAAATATATTAAAAGTTATTTTAAACTGTAACTGTAATTCACAATATTTCTGTTTTTATTCTGTTTTATCAGATGCCTTTTGGAAACATTAAAAAACCTATAAGTGATTGTAAATCATTGATGTCTATTAATTCAGCTTATGCA